TGTGCAATTTGAATCTCTGAAGAGTTGCAGTTTGGTGGGAAGCCAGGGATCTCCAATCTCATTCAGTCAAGAGATGTGGCCAGTGGTGAAGTGGTTTATTTTAATATGTTGTGCGCTTGAAATTCCTTGTCCCAATAAACCTGTGTCAGGCATGTTGAACATTAAAGTAATTGTTTCTGTCTCCAAGGTGCCATTCGGTATATGAAAATTCGAGTCATCACCATGTCACCTGATTCTCAACAACTAGTTTCAACCTGAGGAAATACGTATCCAGCCTGTAGGAGATATTACAGTGATAAGTGAAGACTGATAACTTTCCCTTTCTGAGTTTGGGTTCTGGAGACGTAATGAAAGCGGGGAAGTTAGTTCATTTCCTTTGGTAAATTGGCACTTAGGCCTCTGACTTAACTTCCCTATAATTTTCTGCTTTTTATAAAAGTTCATCTTTCCTTAATATGTTGCCTTCCACTCTCCCTTCTCCTTGCCTTTTTGGTACGGGGTGAATTGGAAATTCTGAAATACATTTTAACAGTGTCGAGTAGGATTCTATCAAACCTGATGAAAGGTGATCACCATGCTAGAAATTACACAGTGTAATTCTGCTGAAAACTGGATATTCCAATTTCATTCCAGTCAGTGAACCATAGAAATGATAGTTTCCTGAACAAGTCCGATTATTGACTCAAAATATATGATCCCTGCAGTGGTCATCTCACTGCAGTGTCCGTCGATGTAGTGCTGTACGTTGCATCTTGGGAAGTATTTTCTAAGAGAGCCATGCTGAATAAAAACCAGCTCAGTTATGCAAATACTTGATTCATCAGTAAACCATTTTAAAAAGATAGTTGAAAATAACTTACTGACATTTTGATTAACATATATGATCCCTGCAGTGGTCATCTCACTGCAGTGTCCGTCGATGTAGTGCTGTACGTTGCATCTTGGGAAGTATTTTCTAAGAGAGCCATGCTGAATAAAAACCAGCTCAGTTATGCAAATACTTGATTCATCAGTAAACCATTTTAAAAAGATAGTTGAAAATAACTTACTGACATTTTGATTAACATATATTTCATACAGCATGAGACCAACAGAACTATTAAAATTGCTAAAAGTGATTTATAGTTAGAAAAACACCAGTGGTAAAGATTACCAGGAAAACGTTTGCAAAAGCGTTACTTTAACGTAGCTAGTAGAATAAAACAAGACCGTGGAGTAGCATTTTGTTTAAGCTTTCTGATGACTAATTGTTTCCGATCTGTTGGCCTCCTTTAAGCGTTGCACGGGTAGCGTAGTTCTGTAGAGTCTGTACATATTTTTCTTAAATTTTTTGTCAACTTATGTCTTCAGTGCCTTTCTTGGTGTCATGTATACCACAACACACATTATATTTATGTATTACTGGTTCCTGCTCAACTGAGTAGAAGCCTGGCCACAAGCATGTACTACTCATTGTCAGAAACTCAGCAGGAAAGGAACAAAATGCAGTTCATACTTATGTTCCTGCACATAAAAGGATCAGTTAAAAATAAGAACTTCGGAGTTACGTGAACTCATAGTCCAATAATATGAATAGGTGCAATCTATTTCTACAGAAGCTAGAGTAGCCCCCTTAAAGTATTGTTAAATCATCTTATTTATTCAGGAAAAATGAACTTTATGTATGGAGCATCCTTTTATAATTCTGTTTGGAATAAGGGTAAGGAGTCAATGTTAAAATCAATTTGTTTTTCGGGAAGTCAGATATTTAAATGAAATAAAAACAGTGACAGTAAGTGGAATCACTTAGGTAGATACTGAGTGAAGAGAGTAGTAAGTTAACTGTTGAGTAGGATTTGTTCACTTTCCTTAATTTACAACATCTTTAGTAAATAACTGTTAAATTACTTCATGGAGGGTTTCCCTCAAGATGAGAAAAGCATGTTTTCCTTTGGGCTGCTGATTTACTATATTGATTGAGTGTATAAGATTATTTTGGTATTTGGGGATTTGCAAAAGATACGCAGAGATTAGTCCTTTCCTTTCCCTTTTTCTATTTAGCCTAATACATAAGGCTGTGTGTGTGTGTGTGTGGTGATAGGGCACTTGCCTAGAATGCATAAGGTCCTGAGTTTGGTCCCCAGTATTGCAAACAAAACAAAAAACAAAGTAACTAAAGTGTTTGCTTGGCTTTCCACCTGATGGCATGGAGACCTTTTGATATGAGGTCAAATGGTGACAGATATAATTGATAACACTGCATTGAGGATCAACTGTTTCTTTGTCTTGGTGATTAGTGATTAAAGCTGATCTAACCAGCCTATGTAAATGCCAGTTAACAGTGCCTAATTAGGTGTGCTGTCTGGCTTTCACCTTGTGCTGCTGGAGAACTCAGTGGAAGCATCTTTTTTCTGGATGACAAGGACATGAAGAATGATAGTGGCAATGAGATGCTGGTTACCTTTTAAAGAACTTGAAGTGATCATAATTAAACATTTAAGAAGACAGCAAAAAAGTATTTTTTCTACTTGATGACTTCAAATGACAAATAGGAAATGTCTTCCTATATACCATTTTTTGTAATGACTTAGAATCACTTAATGATGGTAGCTATCTAATTTGTTTTTTAAATGTGACAGACATTGGGATAAGCATTTTTGCTAGTATATTTCATTTATTCTTCATGTTATAACACCATAGATTCCTTAAATATGAGTTCTTTATAAACTGGTGTGCTATTTTTACCTTTCTGAATCTCAATCTTGTCTTCTCTACAAAGAAATTGACAGGCAGAGTTGGATTTGTTGTCTTTATTATTCTTTGTTGTTGTTTTGTGATGCTAGGGATGGACGCCAAGGCTTCATGCTTGCTAGGCAAGCATTCCACCACTGAGCTACAACCCCAGCCCTAGAGTTGAAGATTTTAACACAGGTCTTTTAAACTCCATATCCTTGTTCTTGATGTTGTGTCTACATGCTGGAGCCAGAATATGCAGTAAATTAATTTTATTTGATTTCCTTTCTAGTGAGTTTCTGATAATGAGCAGTAACCATACTCGCCTTCTGGTCGGCTTGTAAGTCAGGGTTTGAGTGATTGTGTGATGATGTGTATCCAGGGTAGAAGCTATGGTAATAGGGAGTAGAGGACCATATTCTAAGAAGGAACTGTTTTTGTTTCTGATAGGAAGGTGAGCCCTAGCTCACGCAAGGCCTCATGCTTGCTAGGCAAGTGCTCTACTACTTGAACCATTCTGCCAGCTCTTTTTGCATTGGTTAATTTTGAGATAGGGTCCTGCTTTATGCCACAGCCGGTCTGGACTGTGATCCTCCTATTTGTGCTTTCCTGTGTAGGTTTGATGGCAGGTGAGCACCACTGTCCCTAGTCATTAGTCAAGATGGGGTCTTGTGATTTTTTTTGCTGGTCTGGACTTGAACCTCAATCTTCCTGATCTCCACTTCCCAAATATCTAGGATTACAGGCTTGAGCCATCCTGCATGGCTACCTTGGCTTTTTGAGTGTAAGTACATGTAGGAGAAAGTAAGTCCAACCAATGAAGACAGTGAATGGAACCACATCAATAAGGGTGACAATTTGATCTTATGCTATGATTGTATAAGATCTTATACAATCATGGCATAAGATCTTTTTGTAGGTCCCCATTATCTTCATGATGAAACCGTCTGTATTTCTTTCAGTTCGAACTTTTGCCTGTTTGCCTATGAGTCATGACAGTGACAGAATAGCTGAAGTAGCCAACAGTTATAGATGGAGCTCGTGGCTTAACTGAGTGATGGCAGGTGCCAACAAGTGTTAGACACCCCCATTTTTTTAAACCATCCCTGAAATTATCCTTTTGATTCTTTATACTATACAAAAGTAGTAAGTTAACTAATTGATCAAGGCAATAGCCTTTAATCATTTGAGTGTTCAGGCTCTGGGATAAAACATTCTCATGTATTATTTATCTCCTTTAATTCTTAAAACAACCCTAATCATTTTTTCACTCAGTTGCCTGACTCTGAGAGACATTAATGTACCAAATATCAGGTGGGTGAGGGATAAGGACTGGATTGAAATCTTGCATCTGAGGGTTCTGGACCTGGTGTGCTGAACCAGAGAACTGTGGCAGTCTTATGGAAGATGGTCTGATTTGGCTCTCTGATCTTAAGCAAAAATGACTCACATGCAGGATGCCAGCTGTGGCCTGAAGATGTGTGCCGTTTGGTCTGTTAAACATATTTGATTTGTTTTCTGTTCTTTTTGTTTGTTTTGTTTTGTTTTGATGGTAGGGAGGGTAACTCTCCCGTTTGCTAATGACCCATGTATCACTGGGCTACTGGATATACCCAACTTCCTTGCCAGGCCCATAAAGATGTTTGAGTTCATAAGTCTGATTGAAAAGGTCAAGAATAGACAATTCTCTCTTTCTTTGAGTGAGCTGAGAAACAGATTTTCCACAACCCATTTTCCCTCTGGGATGGTTTTTTCACCTTGCCAATATTAAAAAATATTGTTTGCTTTTAGTTTTAATCCATTCTTCTTCCCTTGCATAGCCCTGTCAATATATAGAACAACTGCTCAGAAAACGGTTGTTTTCCAAGAATACAGATATTAAAGGTAGCCTTTGTGTTTTGTCTTTAAACCCTTTCCTACCTAATCCAGTCTACTCTTCGCCATCTACATGGCTGAAAGGTCGTTAGCTCCTCGGACTGGCAGATTGGATCCTCGGCCACATGGGAGTGTCATTACACAGTAAAATTAGTACTGCCATCCTGGATTTATTTAGCATCTTCTGATACAGTCACAAGAGCCAGGGAACACATGCCTTGCTTTCCCTTGAGATGTAAAGAGCTTTGAGTACAGGCATGCTGGTGTAAATTCTTTGTTTTCTTATTTTTCAGTCATTTGGAAGTTATATGTCATTATTGCTTTCTTTGCTCCTTATTTAAAAAAAAAGAAAAGAGGAAGACGACAGGAAATAAGTTAAAACCAGCTACCAACTCTGGCTTTTTCTTTTTCAGATGCAAAAGAAATTGTTTTAAAAGCCCAGATCTTAGCTGGAGGAAGAGGAAAAGGTGTCTTCAATAGTGGTTTGAAAGGAGGTGTTCATTTAACAAAAGAGTAAGTGTGAGGGTTCTAATTCCTTGTTTTTGGACTAAGCAATTATGGAAGATTTAGTGCACGATTGAAAGACACACTGAGGAGGGCTGGTGTGGGGGTAGGTGCATGTAAAAGCAAGTAGAGAAAACTGAAATTGTGGGAAGGCTCTAGAAATGCCCGATTTCCTTCTGCTACCATGAAAGTACTTTTCTTCTCTAATTGGTGAAAACTTCATACTACTACTTTCCTAGACAGTGAATGCTTCATCATAAATGTTGGAAATGATACCACTTGCAAGTAAAATGCCACTTCTATAATGCTACTCCCCTATTCAAGAACCCATTGTGGCTCCCCGTGACCAGTGGCATCACAGTCTGTCTGATAATCCATGTCTGCCTTGCCTTCTTTTAAGTGTCTTCTCCCAGCACTCTCCTCCCTTGTCCTGTCACGTACCTTTTCAATGTTTATATTAATCCTTATCCTCTTCCTTATTCCTTTCATACTCAGTATTTCCCAGGTCATCCACTGTCAAGGTTCTGTGCAACTTTTACCTGAGTCTGATATGCATCTCAGCATTGTCTCTTTTTTATGACTGTAACTTATTTGGGAGGAGAGAGTAGCAAAGATTAGCAAGCATCTTTTCTTCTCCCCTCCCCTCCTCTCTCCTTTCTTCCCCTCCTTTCTTTCCTATTTTGCTCTCATTGAGCCTCTGTTCCACCATTAGGCATGTAGTTTATGTGTGGAAAGACCCATGCATTCTAAGAGAGTAGGGGTGGGTTCTGTGCAGTGTGGATTTGAGGATATGTGGACTCTGCTACAAAATGATTTTCAACAGACATTGATTTGCATTTCTTTTTTCCCCTTGATCTTAGCCCTAATGTTGTGGGACAGCTGGCTAAACAGATGATTGGGTATAATCTAGCAACAAAACAAACTCCAAAAGAAGGTGTGAAAGTTAACAAGGTAATGTGGATGCTTTTGGTCATTTTCTCTACATGTGTTTAAAAAAAAAAAGTGAAACCATGCTTCAGATTTGATAGAATCTAATGAATCACTGTTCTTTGGCAATGTGCCATTTTATTTTTTTAAGCCTCTTATAATCTGTTTAACAAGTGCCCTGTCTTTGAGGAAAATGAGTTGTATAATAATGATATTACTTGTTATCATTAGTATTTAGTAAATGCCAGTGGGGATAAGTTACTGAAGCAACAGTTTTCTGATTCAGAAAATGGACACATTCTGTTAAAGGCTGAAAAGGACTTGACAAGACAACCTTATTCAGTGAGGCACAGTTCCTGCCCTCATCCCTCATGCAGCCATTCCATTAGTCTTGTAGCAAAATTACCAGTTATGGTTATGATTGTTTTTCTCAGGAAAAATGCCACTATACCATACTTTGAGATTATGACTATTTTAAGCAACTCTTATTGCCATATTAGTGAACATTGCTGGAGCACCCATATGTATATAGCATGTGCATGCAGAGAGAGAGCAAGAGAGAGTGAGAGAGAGAGAGAAGCCCAGAGAAAAGTGACCTGCCTCAATCATGAAATTATGAAAGGCAGAGTTGAGGTCCAGTCCTAACTCTCCTTCCTGTGAGTGCTCATCTCTTGCCCTCTCCCTTCATGTATGGAGGCACTAGAACCAGTTAACTGATTTGTAAGACTTGGTACAAAATAAAATCAGGGACCCGTGTTCAGACTCCAGGACAACTGTTGCAGTAAATGAATTTAGTAGAGAGACCCCTCTGGTATCACATGTGCCAATCTTGGGAAATGTATGTGGTTAAAAGACCCCATCCTAACAATATATTAGGTCCCTGCTTTTTGCTTCCCCCCGCCCCTCCAGAAGTGGGGAAATAGCGAAGGCAGCTGTCTGTTCTGTTGACATGGCATCACAGACTTATACTCTCCTATCATTGTGCTATGCATGAGGACACTGAGATGGTATATGCTGTTTTTACTTTACAGAGAGAGTTTTTTTGAAAGAGTCTGGACATGACCGAAAGAAATTAATCACCAACTAGTCCTTAGAGTATCATGGGAGGATCTATCCTAGCCGAGAAAAGGACACTGAGCTGGAGGGACAGTGGAATACTAAGAGGTCATCATGCTGAGAGCACCAAACTTTTTTTAATGTTAAAGGAACGAAAAACAAAGCTGACTATAGTTGTTTCCCCTTTTTTGCTGCCTCTCAAGTGGATGCAAAACTCAAGACTATTTCATTCTGTTGATTTGTTCTTGTTCAGCCCAGAATCCTGCTTTTATTTCTCTTTTAAGGCCGAGTATGAACCTTTATCTGTGTGCCTCATTAAAATTTTTCTGCAGAGGACATAATTAGCATTTTTATTTTGTAGGAATTCATTGTTTTATTTGGACACATGGGAGTTTAGGGTTTGTGATGCTTTTAAAAAGTATATAAAAAAACTACATTATATAAAAAGCAGATTCATACTACTTAGTAATAGAATTCTATAGAAAATTAATTCATAGTAAATGCCTGAAATGTTGGAGATAAGTGTATTCTTGTAAATTGAGTCATTTCCAGGAAGCTGCTAGAAAGATTTACTTTTTGTCTGATTGTGCTGAAGTCATTAACACATGTAAAAATATTCCAATAGTACAAAAATTAGAAAGTGAAAGTTTCTTGTGCTCTCACCATCCAAACATAATTGTCATATTATTTATGTCCTTCTCTTATGTAGATTATATGTTACCATATTTCTGTATTGATAACATATTATACAGCTTTTAAAACCTTGCATTTCTACAAGGAATCTTGGACTTTTCCCCATGTCAGTATATGTGGGTCCATCTTTTATTTATTTATTTTTTATTTATTTATTTATTTATTTTCTTGAAGGCATGGTGTCCCAGTGAATGAGAATAATTGTTGTGTAACCAATCCCTCATTAACAGGCATTTGTTTTGAGTGCTTTTTAGACAATGGGATAGTAAATGTTCTGATTATTCTCATATTTGGAAAGGCTTTAGACATCATGATTGACTGTGACTTTCATTTTCAACATGGGCAACCCAGAGAGGCCATGGAAGGTCTTAGCAAAAGTAGTTTTGTTTCCTGAGACATTTGGTGAACACTGTGTGTTCTTTGATCCATTACAGGTTGAGAAAATCAGGAATTGAGCTAGAGTCACTTAGTATTTACCATAGAGCAAGGACAAACTTTTAATGATTTATAAGGATCATAAGTGAAAACATGCATAGATTTGATCATGTGGCTAGGAAGTATGTATTGAGTTTCTTTTATGTGTCAAGCATGATACTGGGTTCTGGGGTATAAAATGAAGCATTCAAGCAGAAATTATTTTTTTCCTTTTATTATGTTTAATGATTTTCAAAAATAACGTACGCCTCACTTTTAAATGGATATAATATGAATAACATGCTAGATAGGGTTTTTACAGATTAAATAACTTAATTCATGCCTAAAGACCTTACATAGGAAACATTTGATACTTGTGTCTTAGTCCATGCAGGCTGGTATAACTGAATACCATAGCTTGGGTAGCTTATAACTAGGCAAAATTTATTTCTGTCTGAGGCTGGGAATCCATGATTAAGGCAACAGCAGATTTGGTGTCTGGTGAAGAACCACTTCCTCCTGGTTCATAAGAGGCCAAGTTTTTATTGTGTTCTCATATGGTAGAAGGAACGCGAGGGCTTTCCCTGGGGTCTGGACTGTATCTTTTTACATTGCTTCCTGCAGCTTACAAATGACAAGGGCTCCCCACTTCCTAGCCCACATTGGTGGTGTCTTTTTTTAACTTCATGCATTTTGATAGTAATGTGGAGATACTTCATTCTGGTTTTAATGTGCGTCTCCCTGGTGCATAAAGATCCTGAGTATCACTTCATTTGCCTAGTTGCTATCCGTAGATTCTTTTTGCTGTATTGCCTGCTCCAAAATTCATACTGAAATTAAAACCCATTGTCATGGCATTGAGAGGTGGGGCCTTTGGGAAAGTGATGAAGTTATGAAGGCAGAGAGAGCCTTTGCGAACAGGACTAGTACCTTATAAAAAGGCTGGAGGGAACTTATTCAGGCCCTTTTTTGCTTTTCTGCCTCCTGCCATGTGAGAATGCAGCAAGAGGCTCTTACTAGACACCAAATGGCAGCCCTTTATAGTGGCATCCCAGACTCCAGAACTGTGAGAAAATAGTAATTGTTATTATTATTCAAGATGGGGTTTTGCTAGCTATGCTGCCCAGGCTATTCTCCTAGGCTTAGGAGATCCTCTAACCTCAGCTGTTACAATATCTGGGATTATATCTGTGCTGCACTATACCTAGCTTAAATTTTTGTCCCACTATTTGGTATTTTTGTTACAGCAGCTTAAAAAGACTTAGACAGTGTTAACCTACCCATTTTCTAATTAGATTTTTTTTTAAACACTGTTGGGTTCTAAACGGTGGTCCATTGTTGGATGTGTACTTTATAAATATCTTCTCCTGTACCACATAACTTGTATTTTCATCTTCTTAATAGAGTCCTTAGTTTTGGTGAAGTCCAGTATTTCTGTGTGTGTGTGTGTGTTTTAATGGGTTGGCAGTATGGTGTGTGGTCTAAGAAGTCTTGACCTTAGCCCTAGGTGACAAGATTTTCTCATTTTTTTTTTTTAAGTTTTTGTTTTCTATTTTAGTTTATGGGTGATTATTTTTGAATAAAGTGATAGGACTTAGATTAACTTTCTTTTTCTTTGCTTGCCTTCCACTTGTTTCTCTACCACTTTGTGAAAAGACACATCTTTCCTTCTCCATTGATTTGTCTTTGTACTATTGTCAAAAATTAGCTGGGTCTGTATGAGTCTGTTTTGGGGTTTTCTGTTGTATTCAGTTGATTTTTGTGCCCATCTTTCTACCAATAATACACAATCTTAATTACTGTAGCTGTCTCATAAATTTTGACATTGTGGAGGTCAAATTTTTCTCACTTCATTCTTCTTTTCAAGACCATTTAACCTATTCTAGTTCTTTTGCCTTTCTAATACTGCTTAAAATAATCTTTATTTATAAAAAATGACTTATTGAGCTTTTAAGAGAAATTGTGTTAAACCTTTGTGGAGAATTGATGTCTTTGCTTACATTAAGTCTTGCAGTCCATTAATTTAATACATCTGTCCTTTTACTTAGAGGGAATGAGGCAGCACTGATCATCCTGTGCTCCATGAATTACTATCAGTACTGGTTATTATTGCTCTGTAGGAAATTAAAAATTGATAGTTTCTTCATAATCTTACCCTTCACATTTCTGTTACAAATAGTTTGCTCACTGACTCTCATGTACAGATTACAGTTTAAGTTGTAGGATATTTAAAAAAGAGAGATTTGATTGTCAAATAGGGTAAAGAAAGTTAAGAATCTTTTAACGCTAGGGGAGCTCACAAAAACGACGTGTTGATAATCTTTGTGTGACTCACAGATGAAGGTCTTTTGAAATGTATCTCCCTGACCTTCTCCTGGGCAAGTGTTGATGAGTCCATTAGATCTTTATATAACAATCCCTAAAATATTCTGATGTCCTGAGTCTTAGAAATGTTGATGCTTTATAACATTAAAAAGCAAACTGGTCTTTGTCTGAAATGTTTGGAATTACCTCTTGCTAATCATCATTTTCCTGGGGACATTTTCTTAAGAAGTAGAACATTATTTCTAGCAGGCAGGATTTGTTGGAGACAGCAGTTGGTCTTTACAAATAGAAATTCAATGGAATGCACAGCACCTCTGTCAAGAATAGGACTCTTGAATGACACTTTTCCTAAAGAGTTAGAATGCTGTGTTGCTTCTGAGAACACTGACAGTCATCAAGTGTACTAACTGTGAGAACGTGACTGGTAGTATGCTACTACACCTGAAAGCACAAAAATGTCACATTCTTCATTTTGTTCTTTGTGCTTACCAGATTTCTTAAAACCACAGTCCTTCTAGAGAAACCTTTAGAAGAGACGAGTGTCTTCAGTTCTTAAAATGTTTGTATTGATGTTGATGTGGGTAAAGGCCAATTTATGTTATTTCTATAAACTGCATGTTTTTATTGCATTTGATAAAGAAAAAGTATAGCTAAATATTTTTGCTTCTGGTATGCTGCCACTCCTCACTCAAGATTCTAAGAACTGAATGTTTAAAGCAACCTGAAGGCTGAGAGGAGAGTTAGGTACTGACAGATGGTTTGACTTGCATTGATAACCAACTTGAAATCAGAATGAATTCATGATAATCCTAGTTTCATACTATATGCAAAGAAATAACCCTTTTAAGGTGAGCCTCTGTGTTTGTGTGTGTGTGTATGCATATGATGTGTGTGTTGGGGATTAAGCACATGCTACACCACTGTTGTATCTTTTGGTATCCTTTGCATCATCACCATCACCAGTGCTGGGGATTGAACCTAAGGCCTTGCATGTGCAAAAGCAGGCTCTTTGTTACTGAGCTTTATCCCTAGCCCCTGAATTATTTTCGTATAGGCAATTATATTTATAAATTGAGAGAAAGTATAAAGTAAAAAAACACAGAGTTCTAAGACCCAGAAGCATATGAATGTATGAAGCATCTTCTACATACTGTAAAAGAACCCTTCTTTGATAACCAAACCTGGTTTTCCACCAATGAAATCTGAAAAGTCAATATAGAATATATGTATAGTATTCATATATCAAATTAAAATAACAGCTGCTTCCCTGGAGTTTTTCTTAAGTGATGCAGCTTTTTAAGAAAGAAAGAAAAAAAAAAAGATTAAAGTTGGGAGGATCCTGAGGCAAACCAAGTACCTATCACTTGAACTAGTTATAGTTAAGGAGATGAAAATGGGTGTTGTGTACTATGACAGCAGAAGCCTCAGATTTCTTGATGCTGTGTTTTAGGATCCTGAAAACGAAGCCATTTGATTTGTGAAGTGACTTTGTATAGATTTCCAAACAGAAATCTGCTTGATGTTGAATTAATTTGACTTTCCCACTCATGTGATAGGTAATGGTTGCTGAAGCCCTGGACATTTCCAGAGAAACCTACTTGGCCATTCTGATGGATCGGGCCTACAATGGCCCTGTACTGGTGGGCAGCCCCCAAGGGGGCATTGACATTGAAGAGGTGGCGGCTTCCAGTCCAGAACTTATCTTTAAGGTATGTTTAAATACCTTATTACACTGTGCTAACTGCTATTGTAGGAGCTGGGAGCAATAAATTTCCTTCTGGGATTTAAGCTATGAAAAAGTATGGTCCTTTTTTTTTTTTTTAAACTGGGTATCCAGTTGAAAGCCATGTAGAATCAGTGTTCAGTGATCCTTGACTTTTTTCTTTGCTTTTGCATTTCATTCCTTCACTTTTCCTTTCTGCATTTTCTTCCCTTTCATCCACCCAGGCTTAAGAATTAACCCATGGGAGAGCACTGTAATGTTTCCACATCTAGTGGTTTGCTCTGCTCTATTTTACATTGTATATAGTCCAGAAATTCTCACCAGGAAGACCAGACCAGAACTAGAGACTGTCTTGAGTAACATAGTTTCCATCTTCTCTAACAAGTAAATCTGTCACTTGTTTCATCCCTTTTATTGATACTAAGATTAGTGTCAGTCTAAGACATCTTGGTCACACAAATTTCTCACCACTTCTAAGCCTCATTTTTAAAAAATCACTAAAATGAAAATGGTATGATTTCTACCCTGTAGAATTGAGGATAAGATGTGGCTGGTATGTTTAAAGTGCTTCTTAACCTACCACAGGCATATAAGAAAAACATACAAAATCCTTAGACTATAATTCCAGATTTTAATTTGGTTCCTTATTTGAAAATCACATTAAAGTTTCTAACAGAAACATTATTTCTTTTAGGAAATGAATTTGTTTTCCTTTAAAGGTGTGTGTGTATAGGGATTTTTTTTCATGATTCCCTCCCTTTGTCTCAAGCACTCATATTTTGGTGATTGATTTTAAAATATTATCATCAATGTTACATCTATAGGATAACTGCCTTGGAATTTCAATTAATACATTACATACACGCTTACCGATAATACCTTATAATTTTCAAAATCAGCATTGTTTAAAACAATCCCATTTGCTAAAAGAATACATGAATTGATGTGTATGAGCAATGCTCAGTGTTTTGGAGAGAAAGGCAGTTTGTAAAACTAAGTTATTAATAGCTCATCATCAATAGAGCACTTAAATCATAAGATAATATTTAACCTGTGTATGACAACTCTCAACTTATCAGCAATATTAGGCAGGAAAACCTTTCTTTGGAAGCCTTCCAAAAGATGTCATAAAATTTAACTGACTAAATATTCATCAGTGCCATCTGCATAGTAATTAAAAGTGAAAACTGGCATCAGATCATCTTGTCAGCATGCCACCTTAAAGAATTATGTAGTTTTTCGAAGGGCTGTTTCATAGATGGTCTGCTAATTAAAACATACCCTATAGGCAGCTGCAGTAGCTCTGCTCTGAGCTCTCTGGAAAGGTGCCACACTTTAATTACTCATTTGCAAATAAATACTAAACATTCTTCTTGAGGTTATAAATCTTCTCATTTCACTGTCTGAATTTTGTTCATTTGATATATTTTTACTAGGAGCAGATTGACATTTTTGAAGGGATAAAGGATAGCCAGGCTCAGCGGATGGCAGAAAATCTGGGCTTTCTTGGGCCTTTGAAAAACCAGGTATGTCTGAGATTTTTTTTTTTGTCAGATCCCATTTGGGAACTTGCTGAATTAATTGCCTCTGATGTTTGTGATTATCAGGCATTAGGATGCTTGTGTTTTAATAGTGTGTATGTATGCGTGTGTTGCCTATAGGCACATGCCCTTTATCATCTCATCGTGTTTTTTTCCTGTAGCGTTTCTGGTGCTGCAACCTGGCATATATGTGATTCAGTCCATGTGAAATTCAGTTTTATCATCTGTAAAATGGGGATCATGTCCACTAAGATTGTGGGGATTGAGTTTAATTATGTGTGAAAGTGCTTATTAAATAGTACCCCATTAAAGACCAGTTATTGGATTAGGGATGTCGCTCAGTGGTAGAGCACTTGCCTAACGTATGTAAGGCCTTATAGTCAACCCCCAGCCCAACAAACAAAACAAAAAGATCAACTATTACTGTTGTTAATAATATACATTATTTAACTAATTGCTATTCTTTCATAGGTAGGTATTTGAGATAAATATTGATGGCATAAAGGTGATATTTTTCTAGATACAACTTAAAATATTCCAGTTTAGTAATAGCATCCCTAGGTTTCAAGAACAGAAAAAAATTGTCCTCAAAGATACTGAGAGGCAGGATCTGTTGTGTGATTCGTAGGCCTGCCCTGCCATTCATTCAGTGCATGGTACCCGATGTCATGCCTATTTAGGCAAACGGCTTTGTCCCCCACCTAAGTCAGAGGATCTTACTGGCTACTTTTTCCCTCCTGAATTATTCTGAGAGATCACCTTAGATTTTGTGTGTGTGTGTGTGTGTGTGTGTGTGTGCGTGCGCTCATTCCTAGCCTGGGACTCTATAGTGGTGAAAGAGAATAATTGTCCCATGGTGTTCCTGGAAGATTGGTTGCAGGACCCCCTGAGATACCAAAATCTAATCCATACTCAAGTTCTGTATATAGAATGGCATAATATTTGCATATAATCAATGCAAATCCTTCCATACACGTTAAATCATTTGATTACTGATAATACCTCATTCAATGTTAATGCTATGTAAATAGTTGTTATGCTGTATTGTTTAGGGAATAATGAGAAAAATAAGTCTATACATGTTCAGTATAGACACAAGGTTCTTTTAGGATATTTTCTTAACATGGTTAGTTGAATCCATGAATGTGAAACTTGGACAAAGAGGGCTGACTTTCTGTTCAATTTAGTTGTGCAGCACAGAAGATTTTGCACTCTTTTCTTTCTGCCTTAAAGAAATTCTGTGCAGAAGCTCAATGATGATAGTAGTCAAATCAAAGATGGATGGAACAAAAGGAGATTAAAACATGTATATGTTTAAATGAAGGAAGGACAGCAACACTTATTTGAAAATGGGAGTAAAGACTCCCTTGGAAAGCAAAAGATCCAAGGTGGTAAAAGGATCACCTGGGACTGTGCCTCATGAGGAGAGAATGAAAGGCCAGGATTCAGTGGATTCTACTGCTGAGAGATTCCAGGGAAATGATCTACTGAAAGGAAGACACTGGAAGATTCCTGGATATGTGTTGTAGTGGTTGGTATTACCTTCTCATAAGGGGGCTGCTAACCACATTTGCTTGACATTTTAGGGGCTTCTTGTGTAGGACTCGTCACCAAACAGCACTCTTTTTACAGTCAGAGTTCTCACTACACGGCCCCACACTGAGCTCCAAAGTGTGCTCAGTTACCCTGTCTGCCTTTTCCATATCACTTTGCCCTTCTGCATTTCTCCTATTTATTTGTGGTCACCTGTGTTACATTGTAATCGTCACCACAACAGGCACTTTGTCCACCTTGAGACTATAGATGCCAGCAGTCCAGAATGCTTGGCACTTGTATTAGATACCCAAGAAGCATGTGTCACATGCAGGGATAAGGAAATAAGATATCTAGGCTGTCCACTTTGAAGGGTTCCCTAGAAAGTCAGCAGTAAATATGGGAGAAGAATAAATCTGGAGTGGGCAAAATGTGCTGACCCTATAGTGTGAAAGCTCAGGAGGTGAACAGCACAGAGGGGTTTTAGAGAAGGTAGGTAATAGTTTATATTAAGTACACAACATTCCTGCTTCGTACATAGTATAAGAGAAAATTAAGTGTTATTTATAGCTCTTAAATGGCATAATTATGCTTTCCCTGTATCTGAAACACTAGTTTTAAATGAGTTACCTAGGGAAGGAAGATGAACATTGCATGTAAGTACTCAAGTAGCTGTATTGTCATATTTTAACTCAATTTATTGAAGAAAGAAAAATTTAATTCAGTGTTATGTGTGTGTGTGTCTGTGTGTCTGTGTCCCACCCAGTGTGGTACTTTGAAAAGCTTTAAATCTTAGTTATCTGCTCAGCTGTTTGGAGTGAACACAGACTGGGTGTTACTTACTTTTGGGCCCTGGGGAATGAGGACAGTGAAACACAGCCATTGTTCTGTAGGGGCTCAGAGATCAGTGGGGGTCAGGATAGTAAAAATAGGGCTAGTGAGAGATAAACCGCAGAAGGTTGATCAGAGTTGTAGTTTTCCTGGAGTTTGTTTCTTTAGAGATGCCACTATGTTTACAGGATGGATACATGGCAGGGCATCTCAGGAAGGTGTGGAAATGAGCATCTCTGCTTCACAGGGCCGGGGAAGACACTCTAGGGAGCCTGGGCACGGAGCAGACCAGGCATGTGAGAAGGGAAAGCATTGAGAGAATATCAATCACTGATCTTTAATAAGGAAGTGGTATCTTAGAAGCTCCTTAGATTCAATGTGACTTTCAAAGTTACTTCATTTTTATTGAGGATGTGGTTAAAGCATTTGGAGACACCTCACTCATGAATGAACAACATAAAATGATTGTCTTATAAAATTATTAATGTTTTTCCTGTGACTCATGCCTGATGTCTCTGAACTATGATTTATTAATATTAACAAAAATAAAGATATTTCACCTTATATAAAGCCTGTCATGGGTTTTCTTAGCTAAAATCCATTTTGCTAATTTGTTGGAAAGATAAAGCCCCAGGGAAACTTAATATGACTAAAATTTGAAAAGTTTCTTAGGCATGTTTTAATTATTATCTACACTAGTACCCCTTATCCAAGAGGGGTACGCTCCAAGACTCCCAGTGGGTGCCTGCAACTGAGTATGGTACCGAATCCTATTTGTAATATGTTTTCTTCCTTTATATACATATTTCTGATGAAGTTCTACTTATAAATTATATGTAGTAAGAGGTTAACAAAAAACAATTACTCAATTTTAACAATATGCTATAACAAAAGTAATGTAACTCTGGCCCCTGTCCCATCTTGGAGTAGTATATTGTACTATATTTTGGGACCAGGATTGACTTCAAGTAACTGAAATTATGGAAAGCAGAGCCCAGGGTAAGGTGACTACTGTTTCACTACTTTTTTCAAAACACAGGTGCCACAACTTGTCAGCATGTGTCTATAGTACTTAGGCTAATGAAAAGATAGGACAGGCCATGGTAGTACAAGATCGCCAACAGCATTGTAGTTGCTTGAACTTCTGGCTGGCTTTAAGAATGATATGTGAATGTTGATACTTTCTGGAAGGCAATTAAAGAATTTGAACATTTTTAACTTGTTAAATGATTTTTAAAGTTATTTTTAAGCTTGTCAAGGTTTTGCATACAAATATATTTGGTTTTAGGTATTTAAATTTTAAATTGCTTAACAACCTTAAAATAACATTAATTGGTGGCAATGGAAAGAAAATTTTTCTATGTATTTTGCCTACAGACTGAGAAAGAAGATTGCAGCAGTAAAAGACTGCGCGTTAATGGCACAGTGTTTCCTTCCACCTGTGTTTAATTTACGTTTAATACTTGACACATTTAGAAACTCTTACAAAGCAGGAGAGCTACTCTTATCTTGGCACAGGCCCTTCCATTCCCTGTTACATACCTGATCAGAGTGACACATTTTGCCTGCTGATAACCTTGTCACCATTTAGGTTGTAATCTCTGGAATAAGGTATTTTACAAGAGTTCTGCCTTGTAGATCTTACCACACAGACCTAATCATGCTTCATCCTGCTCACAACTGCCTCTGTATAACAGGAAAAGTTAAATAGCCAAATATGCCAGAAACTATTGTGGTAATTCAGTGGCCTTGGTGTGCAGACTGTATAGGCTTCATATTACGTTATTATAGACTTAACATGTTTTCATGAGACCCACCTGTACATCTATAGATGTACAAAATGTAGTGTGTACATACAATAAAAGTTTGTTTAGCCTTGAAAAGCAAGATTCTGACACATACTGCAGCATGATTCAACCTTGAGGTCATTGTGTGAAGGGAAAAAAGCCAGTCACAAAAAGACAAGTATTATATGGTTCCACTTACAAGATACCTAGAAGTGTCCAATTCATAGAGGCAGAAAGTAGAATGGTAGTTGCCAGTAATAAGGGTTAGGAAGGTGTTTAATGAGTTCATTAGTCCATTTTATATTGATATAAAGTTATAAAGTTACATTTCTTAACTTTATAAAGAAATAAGGTTCATTTTGGCTTCTAGCTCTGGTCGATGGTCCGGGGCCCTGTACACTTAAAAATGGTTGTGATGGTTAATTTTTTGTTCTAGGTATTTTAACCTAAGTTTTCACAAAGGTACTTTTGAAGTGGTTGGGAAAGATCTTAAGTGTTTATGTATTCAAAGCTATTTCTAGTATGTGCTTTTCCCTTATTATTGTATTAATCATTAATTCAGGAAGTATTAAGTCTTGACTCTTCAGATGCAATGTTAATAGAGTAGATACCATGGTGTCAGCATAGACATGGTGTCTCTTTCATAGGCAACATTGCAAGCTCATAGTGATGACCTAGAAATCCCCCAAAATGCAAAATAAATAAGTAAACAAATAAATAAAAAGCTGAGCGTGGAGGAATACATCATCCTAACTATTTGGGAGGCCGAGATGTGAGGATCAGTTGAGTACACGAGTGCAAGGCCAGCAAGGGCCACATAACAAGATCCCATCTCATAAAACCCAACAATGCTGAACAATTATTTGTTGATTGGTTTTGTACTTTCACACGAGTTCCATTTGGATTTTAAAAAAAAGTTAACGATAAATAAAAAAAAAATCATAAAGTAAATTCTCAAAATAATCTGGACAGTTTTTTAAAAATACTCTTAAAGTGAGACTGGCCTTTTGAAAGCCTAACACAAAACCACAAGCTATGACTTTCCATGTGGCAAAACTAACAAAAATGTGGCCAAAAGATAAATGTTAAAGGAAGAAAATATTTGCAATTTACATAAGGTAAAGAGCAGATTTTCTTCACATAAAAACACTTCCTTTAAAGTCTTCATAAAAGACCAAAATCTCAACAGGAAAATAAGCAAAATTTATAGAAAAGGAAATAAGGATGTTTCAAGAGCATAGAATAATGCTCAAACTCATCCATAGTAAAAGACATTCACATTAAAACTATATATGAAATACATGTCTTCACCTACCACACTCACCAGGATCTAGATGGCTGATGGGTGTGAGTGGAAAAAGTCTCTCTGATCATTGGTTTGTGGGAGTGATAACTAGAGAAAGCTTCTGCCAAGAGGAACTTAATTGAAATCTTTTGATATTTAAAATGCTCACACCTACAGCCTTTTTGCTCCCATTTGGGGATTTAGCCTACAAATATTTAATCACTTGTGTTACATACCTACAAAGACAAGTAAGGCAGCATGTTAATATCAGACTATTAGCAATAATCCTAATAGCCATTATTTAATTGACAGTTTTAGTGAATCATTGTGCATTTGTATGGTAAGGGCCTCTAAAATCTATTAAGGAAAGAGTCAAGGTCGAGTAGTTTTTAAATTTTTTTTAAAAGATGAAAGATTGTTTAAGGTACATTATACACATGTATGGAATTACCACAATGAAATCTCTGTACTGTTAACGTATGATAAAGATAAAAATTTAAAAATGAAATAGAGTAGAATAAAATAGAGCATCTCAAATGAGTCACAAATTGGTAAGATGGTTTGCTATGGGGGAGTAAGTGGGAGGTACAGTCATAGAAAACCCTGGGTACTTAATGATGTCTATGTACATGTGTTTTGTAGTCATAATATATTTAATATTAAAATATTTAGTCTTGGTCAATATGTATATTTATTTATATACACTGGTTTTCAAGCTAGGATTTAAGGAAATCTACAAATACACTTGAAATATGTTGTGATAACACAAAGGAATATATAGAAGTTCTTTAGTCAAATCTGGAATCATTTTCAGTATTGACCCTAGTGGGAATTTATCTTAGGAATATGTTACATAGAGACTGAAAGAGGTGAGAAGACTAGACAGAGAGCCATAGAGCTGATGAACAGCAGGGCATTGTTACTGTCCACATGCTCTAAGAAGAATTTGAGGCAGCAGTGTGACACTGCACCTTGAGGATATGGAAAAAAGAACCCTGGGAGTCCTGTAATTAGAGGAATAGCTGGAGTAGGAGAGGCTGCTCATGGCAGAAAGAGAGGCTTAGAAATACCCTGGCTTTTTCCTTTCTCCCACCCAGACTCATACCATTGCATCCCCTTAGCTGAAATGAGCTGTAAGCCAGCTGACCCATTAACTTTGAAAACTCAGGCTGAAGGGGTCTGATCCCCTGGAATCAGAATAGAGATGGAAAAGGACCCAAACGGGTATGAAGGCAAATCCTGTAGAACATTGCCACAAAGGTGGCAATGGGCAAAATGTAGTGGGCATGATTAGAAAATGAAATAGAGCCAAAAATGAGACTGGTATCCAGTATTCAGCTCAGGGTGCACAGTCTTGTTCTGTTCCTTGTAAGAGTGAACTTTCCAGGTTGTGTCTTGACTCATGTACATGTCATCCCAAGCCCCAGCCCACACAGTACAAGCCTGCTGTGACACAGGTGGTGAGTAAATGCTAGTTGAGAAGAATGAATAGTGAATTTTAAGCATACTGAAAAGAATGAAGTCAGAGGCATACCATTAGGGGAACCATGGATATTCTTGGCTTTTGTGGTGTATGCCTTTGGGACAAACTGTTTTCAATTTTAACTGTGTGATTCTGGAACTATACTGTTCTAAGACTTTATCTTCCTGCCTAGCAACAATTTCCATTAGACCCTTGGTAATTGTTGTTTCACAGATTATGGACTTGGATTGATGAATATAATAACTGTTTTATTCCAGCATAATAAGGAAAACCTAGTCATTATAAACTCTGAAAATCTTGTAAATATTTTCCTTAAATGGAACTTGTTTGTATTAATGATTGCACTGTATATTGTGGTCTAACTTGACTAACAAGGACATGATAAAGCAAATAGATTAATAATATTTTTAGGCTGTACTGAAAATATTTTGTTTTCTTGATAATGGTCTCTTCTGTTATCTGGAAGAAGGTTGAGCAATTTCCTCTAATGAATAGCAGTGGAAATTAAAATAATTACGCTTTTTTGCTTTTCCCTTCAGAAAACGTAACAAAAATAAAGACATCATTTGCTGTTTTTAAGGTTTCATTAATAGAGTAACATACATTTTCTTTTACTGCTTCAATGTAATTCTATTTCACTTGATCACATTTAGGCTGCAGATCAAATCAAGAAGCTGTATAATCTCTTCCTGAAAATTGATGCTACTCAGGTGGAAGTGAATCCCTTTGGTGAAACTCCAGAAGGACAAGGTAAAAAGACAAAAGAGAAAGAGAAAACAACTGAATATATTATTATAATTATTTATGTATACAATCACTTAAGTTCGTCAAATGACTGAAGCAGCAACTTTGCATTAATTTCTTTCAGTAATTTAATTTCTGCCACAGTTTCAAATGTTCCCATGATATGGTTGAACATTTCAGCACTGGTGTGTGTTTGTGGGTTAATGCCAAACCTGGGAGGATGATACTTCCCGGTTAGCTTTGAAACATCCATCTGCTTACCCCAAGACAGACAGACAGACAGACAGACACACACACACACCCATAATTTTTCAAGTCTGTTGTTCCTGTACCTAAAGTAAAGATGTGGGTGGTTTGGGCGCCACTGCACTTGGGGATAATTAATGCACCTACTCTCATCAGAACTTTGTGAAACTTTTAAAATTTGACTATATCTATGTATAATTTCACTTTGTATCCTTTGTTGGAGTTACATCATCTTGGTGAAGTTCCTTTTATCCTATAGTTGAACTCTCTTGGCTTCTGCTTCAAGTAGGAGGAAGGGGTATTTCTGTGGAGAAGGTATCTCTTATCTATTAAGTATTAGAATATAAATAAATGTTTCATATCTCAGTACCTACAATCAGTATCTATGTCTTAAATGAGTTAAGTATTCAATAAGTCCTTATTAATTTGATAGGTAAAGCTTAAGTGTAAACACACCAACTTGGGGACCACAGAGGATGTACAGTGTTTCTCATTAGCAGAGATTCTCTGTAGTCAGTCTCAAAAAAGCTGAAATATCTTGTCATTGGAACCCAGAGAGACCTGGGTACAAACTCTGGCTCTGTCATGATCTGGCACTCAGCCTGCCTAAGTGTCAGATTTTTTTTTTTTTTCAACTCAGTGGTAAAAATAATACCTGAATCATACAATGGTTGTGAAAACGAGCTGGTACATGTGTAAACATCCATTGCCACATACAAAACAGACCAATCCCAATATTCATAAAATTAACTTCCCTCTTCCCAGGTAGTAGTACAAGAGTAGTCCGGGAAAGTTAGCTTCCAGATTGTAGCAAACAAAGAATTTGTGTTTGGGAAGCCAGTCACCCCAAAATAATATGTTACATGGCTTACACGGATAATCACCAGATTAAAGGCTATGCCAGGTCATTTATGTGAAAACTACCTTATTCAAAGTTGTTATTTAATTGCTGTGGTTGTAAAGTCATTATCATTTCATATAGAGAAGAAGGGGAGGGGCAGACCCTATTTTTGAACATTTGAAATTTATTGACAGTAACTCTGCAGTGTTAGGAGTCATCATTCCCATTCTGAAGGAGGTGAAGCATTAGTGTAATTCCACCCAGAGCCGCTGGTTATGGGAGGTGGGCTTGGAACCCGTGTCTGAGTCCATTGCTCATGTTGAGTCTCTTATACAGACCTAGTACAAAGTGCCTTCTTTTCTACTTTTTTCTCTTTTAAGTGATTATTTTGCTTTTATCAGAGTGACCCAGAAATAGTCTTTGGTTTGGTTATACCAGTCAAAATTCACACTGCTTTTAGTTGCTGATAATGAAATTAAGAAATGAAAGAGTTCAGTGCAAAACTTCTGGACAGTCATGTATTACTTTTCAAGCTACTATGCACAAGCAGACTGGTTATTTCATATTTTTAAAAAATGAAGAAAATCAACTACAGAATGGGATAACAGTGAGGCTGCTATTTTTACCAGCCCTTTGGAAGTAATCATGTAGGAGCTGTGGTCTGGGAACAGGGATGTGGGAACCTTTTCTTGCAGGGTATTTACAAACCTCATGAAGTCTTGAGTTTGCTTTTTAATTATTAAGAGAAAGAAAAATCCTTAAGTTTTTTTGAAGGCATCATCACAAAACATATTTTGTATATACAGTTCATTAAAGCAGAAGTCTTACATGATACTTTTTAAGAGCAAAATTATATTTAGCTATTAATTTGTTCATTGTACCATAAAACCTCAGCTATTGAATTATAATCACAATTAAATGAGAGTGTTAGTTTATAACTCTAATGAGCAGTAGTCAAATTAAACCCAATTAGGAAATGGTGATTAATGACCAAATGTAAAAATTGATCTTCATCATTGTCATAATTCCCTAAAGCAATCCTTTATGTAGGAACTGTAAAAGTAGTCATTTATATCTTAGCAATATTGATTGTCTTAATATTTATACTCTGAATATTCAAATTATTTCTGTATAGATTAGTAATAGCAGAACATTTCACATTAAAACTTTCACATTGAAACTTTAATAATTTTTCTGATAATTTGGAAGTTAAAGGGGCTCTACATGACACCAAACATTTTGACTTTAAAGATACTCATTACACCATCTCTATAGGAGAATTTCTTCAATCTTGTATTGCTGAATTTGGAATTAAAAAAATCCAGATTGTTGTTCATATCTCCATAATCCCAGTTGAATGAAGAACAATGGCTTTGATAAGATTTGAGTGCTGAGCCACTCATGGGGAACTGTAGGCTAAGAGCTATTTTCTCTAGTGTGGTTAAGGTCTGACTCAAAGAATGACACTTTAACCATTATGTAGTTTAGTGGTTCTTAGCTAGGATTATAATGGTTGCTGATTAACAACTTAAACCCACTAACTTTGGCTTAGTTTTTGTTGAAAAGATCCTTTGAGGGGGGCACATATTTTACTCATGTCACAGGGAAGCCTTAAGGTGTGGACTGGCTTTACTGCCTGTACAGAATGAGGGTTCTTTGGTTTCTGGACTCTGAGCATTCATCTGCAGAGTGCAGATCTTTTTCTTGCACTAAAGGAACAAGATCCAGCCCTATTTGCCTCTGACTGTTCTTCTAAACCAGGCTTTGTGCAACTGGTGGCAAAAATGTTTACCAGCATTGATCCCACTCCAGCAACCATAGAGATCCCCTCAAAGGGTTCTGATCAGCCTTGCTTTAGGCCACATGTCTAGCCTAATCACTGAATAGAGATCACGTAGTATGGAAGAGAGGTCATTTCCCAATGGAAAAAGGGACATTGAGCCATAACCTGCCTAGCAGAATCATCCAGCCTTTAGTGAAACAAAAGTAAACTTTTATTTTAACTAATCAAAGGGAAATTATATTTTCTTTGCTTATCCAACTACAGTGCCAAATTAATTCATTAAACCTGTGGCTGAGTGAGAGCAGTGATACATTGTTGCATTTTTGCTTATTTACCTGCCTGTCCCTTTATTCATTCATTTATTTTGCAAGCTGCTGTGGGATTTTCCATCATACTTCATTTTTGCCAACCTTTAGCCAGCTCTGACTGGTATTCAGACAGTGTAGGCATTTCACCTCTAAGGTATATTTGGACACTTTTTATTTGTTACAATTTGGGGGTGGTGCTTCTGGCACCTACTGAGTGGAGCCCAGGAAGACCACTAAACATCCTGTTATGCACATGTAGTCCCTGGCAACGGAGAATGATTGTACCTAATGCAGCTGTAGTTAGAGATTAAGAATTTCTGATGCGAGATATCTTCATCATTGAAGCCCAAGTCCATTCACTGAACTGAAGGAAAGAGACTCAATTTGAAATACTGGCTATGTGGCCAAGATTCCTTAAGAATTAAGGCTGGTTAATCCAAAGTTAAGTGGCATATCAAATTCCTTTCTTTCTTCAGATTGATTTCCCTAAATAACTACCCTGTTGCTTCATGTTAGCAAGTGCCCATGTTGTTGGTGGGTGTTCCTCTGTTTCTCTCTCTATACACAAGACTATTTTCAAGAACATTTTCAGTTCTCTGCCTCCACCAACCCCCCGCCCGCCCTGTGTCTATTTTTTGTTTTACACAGCAACTCAAGAAAAGTTCTAAAAAGTATACAACTCTTGAAACAACAATATTTAATGGAAAGTAGGGCTAATTTTAAAGTATCAGCATTTTAAGGCCATCTTGGCAAGGCACATTTCCACAGCACATTATGGTTATTTATCACAAATCAAGTGCGGCACATTGCTTGAAGACAGATTATTTTTCAAACTAATTATGACAGTCTTACTTCCTGCTGTTTTTATGTTTCTTTTATGTGTATGTCTTCCTTCTGAAATGTACTTTTCTTTTGCTTAACTCTGTGGTACATTCTTCTGCTAAAACTCTGAGGTCAGAGGCCTCTGACTGCCAGTCATGTTCTCTGTTGAGGTGGTTGAATTAGCAGGCTGCAAGATCTCACACCACTAAACAAAACAAAAACACTCTGTGAATATAAGTACCACAGCTTTCTTTGATATTTGTTCAGAAGGAAAATTCATTTGTATAATCTATCAAGCATGTAACAATGTGCTTTTGATGGTGAAAATTGTTTTATAAATATTAATAGGTATGTTTTTTCTTTCTTTGTATGCAGAATGGCCTTTGTTCAAGATGAATTTTCTATGGAGTTGAGGTTTCATTAATGTGACATTGACATTGAAAATCTTAATGTCTGATCCAAGCTCTATATCTACAAAACTACATTTTATTGTACTTGCTTGTTGTTTTATTAAATGAGAAAGCTAAGGTTTGAGCAAGCAAGTTTATTGTACTGGTCTTCTGTTGACATAGACATCATTCCATCCTTAACAGATGAATTCTAGAAGTGCATTCTGAAGAGTGTTATGGGAGAAATAAGTATATAAGAATCAGTCAGTATTCACAAATTACTCCTTTTCTGTAGTTTTTATTTTGTTTACCATAATTCTTTGTTTTCATTCTAATGGAATATGCCTTTTTAAGTGTTTTTTTACTATAAAAAAATGAAACCTCTGGATGTTTTGTATAAGAGTTGGCTAAAGTAGGATACAGATGTGAGACTTATGATTTAGCAGGGATTAGCAAGCTTTCTGTGAAACTCAGTAAGTATTTGGGAATTTATGGGCATTATATTCTCTCTTGCAGTTACTCAGCTCTGCTCTTGTATTGGGAAGACAGCCAGAGATGATGTGTAAACAAATAAGTATAGCTGCGTTTCAGTAAAACTGTATGCACAAAAACAGGCCCATGGGACACACTTAGCCACCCTTAGCTCAGATCCTCACATGGGTGTTTTTTTAGATAGGGTATGCAAAGGTGTGATGTGATTTGAGGGTCATCAAAGGGCTCTGTTTTACCTTCGTTCTTTAACCAAAAATCTCCTTCTCTGTCAGTTATGATGCCAAAAAATGCCAACCATGAAAATTCTTTCTATGGGACAATTCTTATGTATTCAGAAGATGGATTTTTTTTAAATACCATAGGTATCTTATGCATAAGTAACTCTGATAGGCATTCATTTATGATTACTTTAGTCAGAAGTCTAGGATTTTTCAGGGAATTGGACAAACTACAGGTAATTTTTAGTGATAGAACAAGAGGGGAGTTCTCTAGAAGGAGCTGTAATAATGGGAAGTGCTAAGTGTGAAGAAAAGCGTTGTTGCCTGTTGAAGATGGTATTGATAATAATGTTCACTCTTGAGTATCTGCTCCATGTAATGCTAAATGCTCTGCATACAGTCTCTTTCTGCCAACACCATGTGGTACAAAAAACTCTGACCTCCATTTCATGCACAGGGTTACCGGACTTAAGACAAGTTATGCAGTCAGGGCTTGGTGGCTAGGAAGTGTCAAAATTGTAATTCATACCCAGGTATTTTGATGCTAGCATCTTAGTTAAGTAATGAAGTTCAAGGAAAGGCACTGAGGCATTGCTGTGCTGTAGGCTGAGATAGTAAGACAGGAGAGTACTTGTGTGCTTGACTTGTGTGTAATATGAAAAAACAAATAAGCTGTTTTCTTCTACTATAAACTCTTGGCACGAAACACTTCTGTGACTCACTGTGTGAGTTTTTTCCAGACTGACTATTTCTCTGACACCAACTAATGTCCTGCGATTCAATTAAATTCTGACCCTGCCCATATTTAGAGTCAGATCCCAGATGTTAAAGGCTCAGTCCCACAAGACTGCCCCTCCTTTCAGGTGCCAGTCACAAGTCTTAGACTCCCATACTTATGACTAATCAGCTATAAATTGGGGATTTTCACAACCCCTTCCTCAGATTCCATCATTTGCTAGAATACCTCATGGAACTGATTGATATACTTTATTTACTTTGCCAGATATTTTAAAGGATATAAATGTCTTCCAGGAAATTCCAAGGGATTAAGAGCTCTGTGTCAGGAAGCAGGATCAAAGTCCAGTTTTTAGAATGAACCGTCTACCTGGTACTCCTATTGCTCAGAAAATTCCAAGTGTTAGGATCTCTGTGCCAAGAATTATGGAAGAAGTCCAAAATACTCTTCTTGTTATGAATCACAGTCTACAGTTGTTAAGTAAGCACAACAAATATAGTTCTAAGCTCTACCTCCCCCTCTACCCCCCCCCACCCCAAACAAGAGACTTGGGCCATGAGGGTAGCAGTTTGGTTTGGGCTCCTTTTTATTGATTGATTGAAGTATGATCTTGCTATGTAGATTAAAGTGACCTCCAACTCATGATTCTTTTTGTGATACTGAGATTTGAACCCTTTTCCTTTAGTTTTTTTCTTAGTTAGGGTCTTGCACTTTTTGCCTGAACTGGCCTTCGACAGCAGTCCTCTCACCTATGCCTCTCATTTAGCTGGGATTAATGGGCATAGGCCACTGTACCCAGCTTGTTTGTTGAGGTAAGGTCTTTTTGCCCGAGGTGTCCTTGAACTGCAATCCTCCCAATCTCTGCCTCCCAAGTAGCTGGGATTATAGATATGAACTACCAGTCCCAGTCATTTACACAACATTTTTACTTCCCAGCCCTCTTATCTGTCTCTGTATCTAGTTATGTAACTTAGTTTACTCTACAGAGAGGGAACACTTGGCAAGGGACCATTGTAAATACACACCCGTTTTATCCCACAGCCCCATCCTTCAGTTTCTGGGCTAGCTGTGGGGTTCTTTCTGGTAGTTGACAAATAGCAAGCTCATTTCTGTACTTAACCTATGCATCATATTGCAGGAAAGCATCTTTTGAAAATCTGGCTTTGCAGGCATTTGGTTGGGACTGCCTTCTGAACTTTGCATACATATCCATTAATTATCCTTTCTCTTGAGCAACTTGTAACTAATCTTTGTAAAGGGCAAAGATTAGCTTGGAACTATTTTGATTTTGCTGGTTTATTGATCTTGACCAAGAATTCTTTTATTTGAAACTCTTCACTTAGAAAGTCAATTTGATAGCCTTTGCCCATTCATTTTGAAGGTGTCAGTAACAAGTAGTCTTGCCAGTGAGTAATGGAAGAGCTAAAACTACTAATAAATTAATTAGAACATTATTTATAAACCCAGTGGAAAGCCAAGAATGAAGGTGCTTTCCTGTTGATTATTATACTGCTCATTAACTGCCGAGAAAATGCCATTGTAGCAAGCACAGAACATTGGCCAATGCCTTTGGTAATTGTAGGATTCCATCATTATTATTTCAATATTCTGCAAAGTAATTACTCTTCCACTCCCTGAAATCTCAATGTGTGGGGAGAGTGATTGGATATTTTGTGGCAAGACTTAAGGACTCAAGTAGACAGTAACTTCCATAGAAGACATTCTCTTGTCAGTCAGTATCCTTTAAATAAATTGTGGTATGGATTTATGTTTATGCCTAGTAGTCGTAGATGTAAATAGACCAATTCTACATAGCTTTGCATCCAAGTGTTTGAATGTTGAGGTAAGGAAAACCTGCTAGAGTTTATAATCCTGGGATACCATAATGTTTTCTTTTCCTAGGCAGCGAGTAGAATTAGTAGACTATGGCCATTGCTTTTCAGTGAGCTATCCTAAGGTGATTGTTTCTGTTTCAAGAGGTAGGTGCCCTCGGTAATGCTGGAGGAGAAGGGGAAGCATCTGTAAGTGCTTTGTCAAAGATACTGCCTGTTGCTATCGGACGTGAAAGATGTTTCAGTGACGTGGTGTCATGCTGACAAGTTTCTACTCTAAGACGATAGTAAAAGGGTTGGAACCTAGATACTCAACATGCTATCCTCCCCCTGCAGTTACTCCCTGATTGTCCTTAAGAAGATTCTATAAGTCAAGTCTATGCCAGCATGGAATGAGTTTTCTGTTCTCCAGGGCTCTTCAGTAGGCAATAAAGAGTTCTTCCTGCAGCAGAGATTTCTCCATGGTACTTATGATGCTTGGCATCCTGATGTTGTCACAGGACAATCGTGGTCTCTTACTGTTTTGTAACTGAGTCAGAGGAGTCATGAGGTAGGTACACACAAACCAAAGGCACATCTCAAACACTTGGGAAGCTGAGGCAGGAAGAACTTGAGTGGAGGCCAGCCTGGGGTACCTAGCAAGACTCTTAAAAACAACAACAAAACCACAAGACCTAACACTAAGCTGTCTATAAGAAACTCACCTTTTCTTCAAACATGTACACAGACTAAAAGAGAAAGGATGGAAAATTATAGTAGACCCCAAAGTAAGCAAATAAGTACACTAGGGATTTTTTTCCCATTTTTTTTTTTTTAAGATAAGAAAACCAGGGCTTAAAAGGATTTACGCTGTTTTTATCAAGGTTATAGAGTTAGTAATAGATATTGGAGACTGCTAAAAGAATAAATTTCAACTTCTTTCACCCCCCCCCCCTTAAAAATTTAAAAGAAAAAGGGAAACTGTGAGGAGGCAGATATGTTAATTTTTCTCTTATATACAAATTTCAAAATATGTATATCAAAATATCATCTTCTATATATTAAATGTATTTATTTTTTTTAATTAAAAAAAATATTGCAGAGTCAGATAAGAATGAGATTTTAAAAAGTAAAACTTCTGGCCCAACATTCTTTACACTGAATCTTTTTGAAGTATCAAGAGGATATGGATAAAATTTGAATTTCACTCTGCAGTGTTAGAAGGACAAAGTAGGACCAAAGGATTAGTACTATTGAAAAAAAGAGATGAGGCATTGTATGTTTTTGCATGGAAGGGAGAGGTGATAAGAGCAATTAAATATTAAAAATTAGAAGTTTAGTAAAAATGATGAATCAAAGCTGTTGTACCTAGTCCCTGGTTTTTAACTTTTATTGTTACTATATTGAGCAGACATAAATTATTACACTTTTTACCAGACTGCATGTCCCAAGAGAATAGGGACAATGTGATATTTGTATCTATATCACATTTAAAGGTCAGGAAAGCCAGAGCAGCTTCTCCTGGCTATACCATGAGAAAGAATGACAATATCTGAGTTTTTTTTTTTTTTTTTTTCTCCTATGTCTGTGAACTTGGAGAATTTACTTACACATCCTAACGTGGTACTCAGGTATGTTCCTTTTTCCTTTATTTAGTTGTCTGTTTTGATGCCAAGATAAACTTTGATGACAACGCTGAATTTCGACAAAAGGATATATTTGCTATGGATGACAAATCAGAGAATGAACCCATTGAAAACGAAGCTGCCAGATACGATCTAAAGTACATAGGACTGGATGGGAACATCGCCTGCTTTGGTGAGAGGCACTTTTGTCAAAAGAATGTTTTCCATATTTTTGTAGAATTCAGCAACTCTGAATTTCTGAAATGTTATTTTCCAATAGCAAATAAACAGGTTTTTCTTTTTTTTTTTTTTTTGTAGTAGGAGTAGTAGTAGCTAAAAAGTCTTAAGCTTTCCAGAGTTGCTTTGTTCGTTTGGATAAGTGGTCAGTGGTTTGAAGCAGTTTCTCTCCTACGTACTGTGGAGGTTGTGGGTGGGATAATTCTTCTCTATAGGGGACCGTCTTGGGTATTATGTGTAACAGCACTCTTGTTTTCTACATGCTGCTCACATTCCTGTGATAAAAACAAACTAGACAAAAATTCCCCAGGCATTTCCAGATATGAGTGGTGCACAGAGTCACCCCATTGAGAACTACTGACTAAATGTCTCTGTTAAAATTCGCTTAGTAAAACTCAGAATCTTTGCTGTGCAAGTCAGCGTTAATATGGTCGAACTATTGATAAATTTGGGTTTAAAACAAAAGGAGAAGCACACATAAATTTTAATGACTTTACTAACCTTTCAGATTCTGTGGTAACTGAAGGACAAAATGCTTAATTCATTAAGACAGTTTATTAATAAAACAATTAGCTCCATCATACTCATCTTGTGAAAACGGTTTCATGCAGCCGAGAGAAGAGTGAGTCTATAGAGGCGATACAATTTCGGTGATTGTCCACAGCTTACTGTGCTGAGATTTACATGCCCGCAACTTAATTGCACAAGACTGTGTTTCTGGTAGAAACATTTCATGCACTGGAAACTTAGGTCTTTGTCTTAATGGAATTAAAATAAAAAAGATTTGTTGCTCATTAAACCAACAGTATCATTATGTTCAAAACTGAAAAGACCTCATCCGATAGTTTGCTGTTCAATACAATAGAAAATGACATCCAATTACAAGTGGTACCAAAAGCTCTTGCTTTGTATTGGAGCAATATCTGTAATGTAGCAGATAACTCACATCACTCTGATGCTGATAAGCTAATGTGCTGTTGATATTTGTAAGCATTTGGGAAAGGGGGAAGATACAATGGTGTTCTTAGAGCAAATTAAATACTGATTATTTGTAGCCTCTGTAGGAATGTGCATGATTTGACCAAGTAACAGCCTCAAAAGCCATGATTAACACATTTCAAATTGTTGGGTTAAGATCCTCTGTAACCCATTTGTATTTTAGTTGCCCCAGGCTTACTTATATTAGTCACTGTTCATAGACTAGTCTGGGGAATTCAGGGGTCAGAAAAAATAAATGTTACTCTACCTTGAGAGTTTTGCTGTGTTCATGAGATTTTTTTTTCCCCTTTGTAACCTAAGGAAAATAATTCTATATAATTAAGCATAAGAAGCAAGAGAAATGCAATTGATCAATAAAGTTTAGCTCTCGAAAATAAGAATTTCAATGTTAAACTCCTTACTTTGTTTCTTAAGACAGGCTCCTGAGGTGTGGGCACATTTGGGCTCAGTTTTAATAATTGGGTTGTTTATAAGCATTTCTTTTATCAATTTGAAGAGGAGTAAAAGGATAGGAATACTGGTTTTGGTGCTATCATTTGTTTCATGAGTTTTACCAGGATAAGGCCATACACACACGCATGTTTTTAATACGTGTAAAAAAGTGTGGACCCCATTGAAGTTTTGACCCTGTGATTGAATTCCAGAGGCTTGCCACACTCAAAAGAGCATATTTTCTCAGCTAGCAAAAAATTACAAGAATTGCACTTTTTACTCAAGTCTTTTAAACCCCTACCAACTTCTCAGAACCTAAAACTTGCCCTTTACCATTAGCCCAAATTGGTTATTTCCCTAACTTTTCTTTCTGTCTTCTAGATTGAGTTAACTTTTTGGTAAATCCTCTCCTTATTCTCATTTTTTGTTCTTGATATGCACAAATCCTGATTTCTTATCATAGAATATGGATTTATCTGATTAATGGATTTCCAAATAGCACACAAATTGGCCTGAGAATGATAAGCCTCTCCTTTTCAGTATTGGGACAAGGAAAGTAGATGGACCCTTTAATTGTTGCTAAACTTATCCTGTCTCCTATGCCATTTGCATTTTACAGTGAATGGTGCAGGACTTGCCATGGCTACTTGTGACATTATTTTCCTCAATGGTGGGAAGCCAGCCAACTTCTTGGATCTTGGAGGTGGTGTAAAGGAAGCTCAAGTATATCATGCATTCAAATTGCTGACATCTGATCCTAAGGTAACCTCTGTCTTAGCAGGGAGATTATATAATGTTCTCATTTGTCTCTATCAGGAGCCATGTGGTTCTTGCTGCTCAGAGAATGAATAAGCCACATGCAGCTCCAGGTGGAAATCCTGCCATGTGTTCATTATAATAATACTTGATGATTTAAATCTCATCTTGGGCAAAAGGCTTATAAGCAACCCCAGGATCTCATTTCAGAGGCTGTGGCTATAAAGTCTTAGGTGGAGGGAAATTAAGACAGTGTGCCAAAGTGAAACGTTGATTATCATGAAATACTGTTTGGGTAATTGATACTAAAGCATTAGTCCTATGCTTACGTGACTTAGGACTCAGTCCCATATTCTTCCGTAAAGATGGTGAAGGTGCTACCATAATATGGGAAGATTATAGGATTGTAGAGTCATCTATCACTATATGTAATATAGAAGGAAAATAATGGCTTCACCTGCTTATGTATGCCATTTAACTTTCACCTTTGACTTATGTCAATATGGAACATAGGTACTAAGAAGCAAATAACTGAACAGTCTCATAGTTTCTGTCGTTTCATGAATATTTATTCTTAAGTAAAATGTAGTTGTCTAGGATGTCGCTACCACATCTATGCTATATGCATTGCAGGCATTCAATTTGTTATTTGCTCAGTTAGTAAACAACTGAAATACCAGTTTGCTTTGTTTCATCCGTGCTTACTCAGTTGTCAGGGATAGCAAGGTTTACATGAATGCTTGTTACATAGAGCGATTACAGTTTTTTGAATGTCTAATATACATGACTGTCATTTAATTCTTAAAAACCTTGTGAGATAGGTATATGCCACAACCATTTGCTATCAAACTTTATTTTTGAGTTAAATGTTGTTGGTTACAAAGCATTTGAAGAGATGTATTCTGAGCTGTCATCCAGGAAATCACGAATGAAAACAATACTTGGAGATTTTTTGTTTTTGTTTTAAAGAAATGTGTTGTAGGACTGGGAGTGGGGCTCAAGTAGTAGAGCATCTGCCTGCAAGCATAAGGCCTTGAGTTCACACCCCTGTACTGCCAAAACAAAAGAAAAAAGACAAAGAAAAACAGATGTTGTGAAGTTTATTTGGAAGCTTTTTATTGGTAAATATATTGGCAAATATATATATTGGTTCCCCTACTGAAAATTCTGTTCTTTATTGGTAATATGCACGTCTTCTTATGCCTTAGATAGTTTTTGTTTTTAAGGTATAGTTACCTTACGTTTTGCTCTTTTCTTCTGACTTACAATGGTAAGGTGTTATTAGCTACTTGTCTTCCTTTCTCCGGCTTTATTCAGGAATAACAAAAGCATTGATTGAATCAAGTGCCACCTAACCATGAAGAAAGTGTCTACGTATAAAGAAAGATTTTTCTGTTTATGAAGCACACTGCATTGGTTAGGTAGAAACATTTTCAGTGGCTTTCTCACTTACTGTTTTACTTGTCCCTTCTTCCTGCTTCTTTCTAAGGGGATAATCATTTTCTTCCCAGAGATTCCCAGACCAATTAAAATTTGTAAATATCATGGACTGGACACACAGCACTTCTGGCTGCTTGAACCACAAAGTACCCTAAGGACAAATGTCTATGACATAGTAATGAACTTTTGGCATCTACTGAAATTCATTCAGTGCTAATAATTGAGAGTCATCCAGGGATTAAATCTAGCTGGACAATCATAGTCTTTTCTTAGTGGCTGATCTTGAATTTTGATTTTGTAAAAGTATGGGTTGGAGAGGTTTGAAAAATCACATGCAGACCATTTTTGTTGTTGCTTTTGTTGAAACATTCCCTTCAAAAATTTTGACTTTACCTTATGGAATAATTTCAAGTGCTTGGAATATTTAAACTTTTTTGAGATTGGCTCTCATCTTGGGTAGATAAAGGTATGTGGGAGTTATTTTATTTTTCTCATGCTATATCTGGAAAATGAATGCATAGCTCATCTCACAGTACATTTTCCAAATCTTGAAATTTCGAAGCCAGTTAAAAAGCATGGAAACATAATGGGTATTTTCAATCCTGGCGTTGTTTCACACAATTCAGAGAAGAGAGTCTGAAAAGCAGTTTGAGTTTGATCTGATTTTACAAGTTTTTGTTTGTAGTTCTGACAGTAATTATTTCAAGTAGAGCCCTGTCCACCTGCCCAGAAATGGAGGTTCCCAAGAGCCCACAGCTAATTATTTCAAAGATATTGATTTTCTTGTTAGATACAAGAATTAGTCAGTTGAATACACTGAAACTCAAAATTATAAAAGGCCTGTTAGTGTTAAATCAAATCAATTGATACTGACAATTACTTGTTTGTCATATATACATTTAATTCTGTAGATCAAGTGTTAAACACAGCCTCACTCAAGAAAAAATATTACAGATTGACATATATTTCCACTCATAATGTCAGCCATAGAGTTGAAACATCATTTCTTTCTTTCTTTCTTTTTTTTAATTGTTGTGCTGGATGCGATACATTTACAGAAATTCTTACCTTGTATCAAATATATTATACTTGAATTCATCCTCTCCTCTTCCTTGCCTATCCCAAATGCTGAATTTCACCAGGACCTAACACAGGCATCTTTATCACTAATGTGCTTCTTTCTTGTTTGTAATGTATGAAACAGAATTTCTCTACTAAACCGACTAAAACGAGAGCCTTTTCAAGATAGCTTACTTACTAAACTGGATTCACATGAAGTATATCGTTAAATATTTTACACTCTTATTTTCCAAGTGGGCTTAAGATGAGAGAAAAGTAATGGAGTTTGTTCTGCTTGTGCTAGAACAGATCTGATCTCATTTTCTTCATTTTGATTTACACAATTCTAGTCTTAGGGAGTAAAAATGATACAAAAATAGCAAATAGAAGTACAATTTTTATTGTAGTCTGTTAAGGATCTAAACATGTTTTAAAGGAAAAACACTACCTAGAATGTTATCTTGGGGGTTTTCTTTTTGTAAATTGTGCTTTGGCTTATATTTTTATTTCTGAGATTAGAATTCTAGACGTGTAGAAAACGAGTGTAGCAACATCTGGACTGTGTGAATGAATGAAAGCCAAGGACATTTGTCATGAATCTTACCAATAACCTACTCTGTTGGCCAAAGAAGCAAACCTGTTGCTCTCCAAAGACCTGATTTTGAAAAGCAATAGTAAATGAGTAGCATTAGTGAAAGGACCTTGCTTGATTTGACTGTGCTTCCTGTTTCAATCTAACTTAAAGCCATGTTTTCAGAACCCTTTTAATGTAAAGTAATGAGCTACAAGAGCACCAAGGAGTGGGCTAAGAATGGAAGAGTTTCATGGTGGGGCTCTGGAGCCAGACTGCCCGGGCTTAATCACTACTATTGGTGTGGGGTCATGGCCTTGTTGTTTTAACTTCTGAATGCCTTGGTTTCCCTAATTTACAAAGTGACAATGACAGTACTCATCTCTGAGGGTTGTTTACATGAATTCACACACACACACACTTTCCCATTGAAAAGGGTAATGATTTTATGTGTATGTAGTTGTATGAATCATTCCAGAGGGAACGTGTCCATGTAGCCTTCAGCTAGTTGAAGAGGTAGTGCAGAAGCAGCACCCTGGAAACCTCCTTTCATGCCCTCCCTCAAATCCTTCCTCTGTTTTCCCTTCTCCCAAAAGGCAGCCACTGTCCTAATTTCTAATAGTACAGATTCCTTGTTGACCTGTTTTTGAACTTAATACATTTGGAACCATGTGCAGTATCATCCTTTATGCTTGCATCTTTTGCTTAACTTCACTTAGGTTATTGGTTAGTGTTTTCGTTGTTAATCGTCCTATTAGGTGTGTGGCCATACCTGATTGTGGTTTAATGTCTTTTTCTTATAACTGATAAGGTTGAGCACACTTCATGGATCAGTTAGCCATGTAGATATATTTTTACATGTCTAACCACCTCATCTGTAAAGTTGACCTGAAGATCATACCTAAAAGCATTGTTTTAAGTATCAACTTGGCAAACACTTCTAAACCTCATTGAAAACTTAGTTAATGTTTTGGAAATGTTAATTTTTTTTAACATTTCCAATATGATAGAATTAGATAAAATGTGTAACTGCAGACATGGAGGTGTCTGAAACAGGCTCAATGATGATCCCTATTAATCTTGTTTCAAAATTGAGAGGAGGTTAAAATGATTCTGTCTCTTGCAGTGATTCTCTCCTCAGACAACCAAGAAAGCATAATTCAATAAAGGGAGGACTCAATTCATACTTGAGAGAACCACAAGATATCATTTGACATAAATTTGAGAAGAGACTAGCTCTCTTAGCTCGGTGGTTCGTGCTTCAAACTAGAATTTGAGGCCCGAGAGCTAAAACCACAGACAGGCCCTATAACAAATGTCATCTTTTTCTCTTCACATTTATATGGTAGGTGTGAAGCTGTTCAAAGGTAAACTGAGGCACCAGAAAATTTCAGAGTGTTTCTTTGAACAAATCGTAGTTTACAAATGAGGTGGCTCCAAACTGGAAGTGGTTCTGGGCCTCCACTGAGGGGACCTGAGGGGAAGGTTTTTAGAGAGAGGGCAGGCACAGAAGTGAGCAAAGAGAACACGTGGTTGGTGGCAGCCGTACAGTTTTGGTTTATACTGCTGAAAATTCTTAGTTAAATAATGGTAAGTTATTTCGCAGCTTCTGATTGGTTAGCCTTAGGTTTCATTTTTTTTTAAATATAAGCATTTATAAGAAATATCTCCAATTAAGCTTCATGTATGTTTGCAATCACACAAAGTTAAGATCACTTAAGACCTAACTGACTTTGCTGAAGAATGCTTCAAGCCACGTCTCTGTTTTAACAAAGCAAAACCCATTTCATTACATTTCAAATGTATTTGCTGGAATACCTTATCTTTAAGTGAGTATTTACTTCCTAGGGTAATAAAATCCTTTTATCTGTTTTTTATCTTACAAAGTTATAGGTTCTGACATTTTCCTAACATGTATATTATGTACTTTTGATCA